AAGTGCACTTTTTTAGTCTTCCCAAACTTGGCCTAAGTGTGGTTCAAGCCCGGAAGGCTCCCACATCTATTGCGCAATATGCAGTTGTCCTTATATATATTTATATTGTTTTGAATATAAAGTTCTACATTGTGGGGGTATAATATAAACATTATGGTAGTATTAAAAAATTTATTTTTATTAAAAGTGGGGGAATGTTGGAATTTTAATAAAAATAAAATCAATTATTTCTATTTAATTTGTTTGACCGTTATGAATATTAAAATTGATTTTAAATATTTCGGTTACAAAGATATTATCAAGTTTTATTATTATAATTATGTAATTATTAAATGTTATGAGATTTTCACTTATATATATTCCTGTGTTTTCTAAAGATGGATGATGGATAAAAATCGAAAGAAGACATATGTATATGTGATATTGAGTTTTAACATAAGAGTACTTTATCTATTTTATGTATTTCTGGGCAATTACGGTTTGTGACTCGTTCATACCCTCTTGGTGGACATGAACATCGGATGAGGAAAGCTGTGACCGCTTGGGTTGTATCTTGGAGCCATTGCACTCCGGTTGTACCTTCACATGGAGAGGAACAATGGCTTTAGGGCAGTGACTACATGCCTCTCAATCTCACAGGCCAATTCTTTCTTACTCTTTGTGAATTTACTTGCTTTAATATTTTATTTATCGTAAATCTATTTTATTAATTAAATTATATTAGTGCATAGCTTTTTTCTAACAAATGTATGGTAGTTTTGTGTTTGAATGATTGAGAGTAGATTGTACAATGGTCTATGTAGCTGTCTTTTGGATAGTAAGAAGATCAGAAGTCCAAGAGATGAAGGCGATAGAGTTATTGTGACTCTTTAGTTGTTATCTAACTTATTATTCCACTAAAGCTCTGTTTATTTGGATGAAAAATATTTTTTGAATTTTTTTTTCACATTTTTGGTATTTAATACAATAGAAAACGAAAGTTAACAAAAAATATTTTTTTATGGTCAATGAAAAACAAACATATTTGGGCTAAAAATGTTTTTCAATTTTAACAGATAGAAAAAAATTTCCGAACTAAAATTTTACTAACATCACCATACCATCACCAACACCACCACTCCCACCTCCACCTCCACCTTCACCTTCATTCCACCACCATCACTGCCAAACATAAAAAAACATTTTCTTCGGAAATAATTTTTTGAAAAAAGTTTTCCATAGAAAATATTTTCCTTTGGAAAATGTTTTCTGCCCAAATAATGGAGCGTAACATCCTATGTTTGCCCAAAAAATAGGAGAAAAGAATGATTGAGTGTGTTTTGGTTGTGATGATTAATGATGTTGAGCCTGTGTGTGAGTGTTTTTCTTTTTCAGAGTAAAAGCTTTATTTGATATGATGCACTTCAATGGACAAATTTATATTTAAGCATAAATTTGAGTAAAAGCTTCACTAGTAATGACACAGTTGTAAATTAGAAAGTAACAAAATGGTCCTGAAAATTTTCAGTAAACATTTGAGTCTACTTGATTTGAGTGAAAAAATGGATAAAACGTAATTTGATATAAGTTTTTTTTAGAGAGAAAATTTGATATAAGTTTGATACAAGGAGTAGAGAGAGGTTTTTGAGTGTTTTTACCCAAATTAAAATTTCTTATAAGTTTTGAGTCAAGGTTGAAAATATAGCTGGAATAAATTTGATATGGCTTGAATATATGCTTTTAATGGGGGGTTTTTGAGCTGGTTAATTACACATTAGCTAGAATGAGGATCCATTTGCTATGAGTGAGGTTAATCATGGGACGTGCATGTATTACACAGGAATGTCACTTGGTTACGCGTGATTTCGTAGAATCAGATTGAGTTACATCGTAACATTCTAAAACAAAATAAAGTGAAAATTTGTCAATAATGATAGTGTACATTAACTATTTTCAAAATCATCAAAGAGAAATTATTAAGTTGATATAATGCATCTTTTAGTTTGGGTGCATGGTCTGAAAAAATGTGTTTTGATTGTTGTTACTTGTTGCTGTTCTGTATTCAATTGAGAAAATATGAAAACTGTTGAAATTGACATGCCATTTTGTGCAGCTGGTTTATTGGCAGGACTCCTTTGTCATTGTGGTTTAGTATTTCATTTTGTGCTATCTAGTTGAGTAATCTTTTAATTTTTCTTTTACTGATTATTTTGTATTCGTTGAAGATGGGTAATTACTTTCTGGAGTACCTTTTAGGCCCTATTTATTAGAACAAATGAAAGAAAATAGCATAATTGAAAGAAAACTTTTAGGTTCCATTTTCTAACTTGATAATATCATTGTTTTATTAAATAGGGTGGGAATGGGGTTGGTTTTTTTAATTCTAGCCCACTGGACAAGGAAAAATTATAAGATTTAAACCTATTATTCCATTCTTACTCTCAACATTTTGATTTTGTCACTCTCTTCCATAAATCCATAACCCATAAATGAAGGGTGTTTTTGAAATATTAATTTTATACCCAAGTATGATTTGCAAACCAAATGTTGGATTTGGACAACCTTGGGATATCCAGTTCCCGTCATTAGTTCAATTCAATTTAAGTTGTCCTAGGATTACAATTGCCGTCATTATTTCCCTAAAACATTGATTATTTTGATTATCATGAAATTTAATCCTCCATCACATTAATTTTATGCCTATAAGTACCTATATGTTGTACTTCTTAATTTGTTATTATGTTGTAATTATTCATAATAATTTTCTAATGTTCATAACAAAACTATAATACCACTATGTAACTATTTCAATTGAGGAATAAAACTATTAGAAAGAAGAAAGAAGTTTTTTGGGTGAATAAGAAGAAGAAAGTTGGGAACATAAAATGCAAATAAGTTTTGTACGTTGAAATGGCAAATAAGTTGAAAATCTGATAAGTTGAACCAAGCACCAAACCTGTGTGAATGTGAAGTAAAATTACATAA